GGTGGGGGTGCGGTTCTTATGCAAAATAACCATCCGCTGGCATTTTTTAGTAAAACATTGAATCAGACACAAAGGAATTATACAGCTACAGAAAGAGAAACATTAGCCGTATTAATGGCTGTACACACAAATTTCGAGTTTATTTCGGCAAATCGCCAGTAACAGTCTTTTCGGATCATGCGGCTGTGTTGGTAGACTTTACTCGGGAAAAAAACCTAACGCCCAGGTTAATAAGATGGGCTTTAAAACTCCAAGAATAATAATCACAATAAATATAAACCGGGTAAGGAAAACAATGTAGCTGACGACGCACTTTCTCGTATAAAACTGGACGACGAAGGAAATGAACTTAAATGCGCTGTGTTGACTTCAAAAATTTTAGATTCTAGAGATACGGTTTATTACTGAACTGAAAGCTGATCCTGAATTTGGAAATATCTATGCTTATTTGAAAGACCCCGAAAGCTTTGAGCATACAGATATCGATGCGATAAGAAATAGAGCAAAAACTATGAAATAATAGATAATTTATTATTCTATACGAAAAACAACAAACGAAATCTTGAGTATAAGCCAGTCATCCCAGCCTCGCTTCGATTAAGCATTTTGAAGAGTTGCACGAAGAAAAAAAACAGCGGGCCACCTCGGGGTCAGAAAGACTTTAAAAAGGGTACGCGAGGCGGTATATTTCCCGCAATTATACAAAATAGTAACGGCGTATGTCAGGTCCTGCAATCAATGTCAGTTAATAAAGATATTAATACAGCCCGGCCCGGGTACTTAAATAGCATTCGCGCTATTTCCGAATGAAATTTTACATAATAGCGGAAATAAATTCGCCCCCCCCCCCCCCCCCCCCCCCCCCCCCCCCCCCCCCCCCCCCCCCCCCCCCCCCCCCCCCCCCCTCCCCCCCCCCCCCCCCCCCCCCCCCCCCCCCCCCCCCCCCCCCCTTTCATTTATAGTTCTCAACGAAAATCAGCCGAACTTCGATTAAGCTTTGCACGAAGAAAAACAGCGGGCCACTCGGGTCAGAAAGACTATAAAAAGGGTACGCGGGCGGTATTTCCCGCAATATACAAATAGTAACGGGCGTATGTCAGGTCCTGCAATCAATGTCAGTTAATAAATGATATTAATTACAAGCCCGGCCGGGTATTTAAATAGCATTTCGCGCTACATTTCCGAATGAAATTTTAGGCATAGATGTCCTTGGTCCCTTCCCCCAGAGCGAGTTAAATAAAAATCGTTTTCTTTTAGTAATAGTAGATCATTTTTCAAAATGGATAGAAATTGTTCCACTTAAACGCGCGTCAGCCAAAACAGTCGCAGATGCATTCTTACACAGATACATTTTAAAATACGGTGCACCGATAAAAATCATTAGCGATAACGGAAAACAATTCATTAGTCAAATATTTGAAAACATATGCAATGGACTTGGCATACGCCATATCAAAATGGTTCCGTATAGACCACAGGCTAACATAGCAGAAAGAGTTAATAAAAACATTGTAAAAATAATTCGCAGTTACGTTAGCACACATCACAAGCGCTGGGATGGCTACATAAATGAATTAGCTTATGCTTTAAGAACGGCACATCAATCATACTACGGGGAAAAACTCCAGCAGAATTATTTTTAGGCAGAAAGTTAATTACGCCTTTAGATAAATTATTCTTTGTGCAACAAAGAGAGCAGGAGTTTAAACAACAAGATGTGCAAAAGTTGATTGATCAGGCGCTTAAAACCTCGGATACGGCAAGAAATAGGCAGAAACTTTATTATGATAGAAAACGCCGCGAAGCAGATTTTAAAGTTGGGGATAAAGTATTGAAGCGGAAATTTTCTTTATCAAGTGCCCCAGACAATTTTATGGCAAAGCTAGCTCCAAGGTTTGAAGGCCCCTATGTAATTCAGGAAATCAAAGGGGTAGTATTATATCTTAAGAACGACAGAGGGGGAAATCTGTAAAGCAAGTCCCGACCAGGTGAAAAAATACTATAATCCAAATGATTTTGAAATCCTTAAAAGTTTCTTGCAGGACTCAAGTCTAAACGAAGTAGAAGAATCAGAGACTACAACAACTATTCCACCACCCAAGAAACAGAGAACTGAAGAGAGACCTAGCACTTCTACAACCCGGACGTCGGTATCAGAAAGGAAAAATGATTTTCAAACTCCGGCGTTTAAGAAAAACAAAAATACAGATAAACCGGGTAAAGAAACCGTGGTAAAGAGAAAAACACCACCTACAAAGGATAGCAGGAGAAATTACACATCAAGGAGAACGCGCACACGGCCATAGAGTCAGGTGCCAGCAAGGCCGCCGTTCCGGAAACTGAAACGCCAGCAGGAGGCACAAAAATACGAGGAACAGAAGAAATTCAAGAAGGACTCCACACCGGAGGACGTCAAGACCAGCCGTCCCAGGCAGAAACGGAAAGGCCAACAACCAGACGATTACTCCGTCAAGAGGCCAGCATGTAGAGGACGCAAAAGAAAAAGCAACGTGGACGACACTCGGAGATCAATAAGGAGAAGATTGACATCCATGAAACCTCTAACTTGGGATCAATTTTGCCAAAAACGGATGACGGAGTTTCAAGCATCGAAAACTCAAAGATAAGTTAAAACCTTCTATAATTTTTTTTTCTCTTTTGTTCCGAAATGTTATGCATAAGTACGAAGTTCTATCTTTTGACGAAAGTCAATATGTCTCGGTTGAGACTTAGTTTTGTTTTACTTTATTTAGCTAAGGCAAAAGTAAAAGCATTATTTTCTTTAAGTGTAAAAAGCTAAAAACAAGCATTTTCTGTTGGTCGAAAGACTAATTCTGTTATGTTAAAGCCAAAATTTGGCCGAAGATAAAAATAACTTCGTATTCTTGTATTAATAAGAATTTTAGTTTCAGTGCCGCCAGCTTGGCGAAGAATGAGTAAAGTAAAAATTTATTTTCTCTTATTCATTTTATGGTAAATTGTAAAAAGCATATGTATTAAAATTTTGTAAATGTACGTAAATCCTTGAAGGTTATGTAAAAGTAGAATTTAGTCTAGAAGCATAAAATTGTAGATGCTAAAAGTGAATGCTTAAAAGCAATGAAGTCAAAATTTAAGTATTAAATTGTAGATAAAGTCATGCTTTAGAGCGAAAGCCTGCATATTTAAAGATGAATGAGGGGGAAGTTAGAATGAATGTGTTTTGTAGGGTTCTCCACCTACATTTGAATTTTTAAGACTACTAAAGTAGCTCATTGAGTTGTAGAATGTCGAGTAAGGTGTGTCTATTTGGTCGTTGAATTCTAACAAATCATGGTGGTTAGGGGAAGTGTTGTAAGACTAAAACACGAATATTCCCGTTTGACACCACACACGGTGGAGAGCCAGGGTAAAGTTAAATTAATGCTTGAAAAATTGAATGAATGTGAAGTAAGCAATAACTAAGAAAAACGAATCGTTTAAAAACAAAAACAAAAATTTATTGTGTCAAGAAAGTGTAAATTATAATGTATTGTAGAAAGATACTGATACTTATTCCTTCCAGATGCTGGAAGGAAAGACCAAGATTGATTGATGAAGTCCAGGAAAAGTTGCTGTAAGAAGAAAGCTTTGTAACGAGCAACAGAATTTTAGTATAATTGTTACATAAGATTTTTTTTTTTTTTTTTTTTTTTTTTTTTTTTTTTTTTTTTTTGTGTAAACGAGGTTCTCGCCAGTTAGTTCAGAATTAGATAAACTTACAACAGGTCGTTTGTAGGACCTGCTTCCAAGTTTTCCAAATTCTGGCAGCGGCAAATGTAGGGTTTATATTTATTTTAACTAACATTTATTTTAAGTTTAAACTATCTTTCCTGTCAAGCCTTACTTTCCCCTGGAACTGCCAATGCCAGAATATGTAAATTTTGAGTAGAACGCGCAAGCATTCAAATTATCAGCGGAAGTATTCTGATTTAAATAGAAGGAAACGAGTTCGGTGAGATATTCTTACATAGCGAGCGCGGAGGTAGTTAGCGAGAATTGAAGAACCCCGCGTTGCGGCCTATGTGCTTGGCGGGAAGTAGTGGTAATCGTTCCAGTGAGCTTCAAGTCTGCTGAATTAGCAGCGGTATTGTAAAACGCGGTGAGTTAGTTATTTTAGAGAGCCTCGTAGTTAGAATCTTGTCTTTACTTTCTTTTCAGGTTATTATTTTTATTTGACTGCCAAGTTGGCACAGTCTGTAAGCGTCAAGAGGACGCAATTGTAATTTATTACGTTGAATAAAAAGGGACTTAAACCCTTCACAAGGCTCTATCTTTTATACAAGTTTTCACAGTCACCTCTTGGTTGCGTGCAAGTTGCAGGCGCGCAACGTTATAACTTAAATAATTTTAAATTGGAAAGAAATTTTAATTTTAACGTCCAAAGGGGCATTAACTCAGAAGGGCTCTCAGTCTCGAAACGGCATTTTGCGTCGAATCACTATAAACGGCTGTATCACATTTCAAATTGTTGACACCAAATATTAGCGCCCTGTGTTATATTTAAAGAAATTAAATAATGAAAACCTACAGGAATGTATGTTTGTTTCTCACATAGTGAAAACACAACGATATCTAGAACCATCAAATTTTGAAAAACGTAGACCTCCATCTTAATATGGGCACCTGAAAGATCGAATCTTGAATTCCGAATTTGTTTTATAATATATTTCATATTTTTTAAACTTTAACGAATTTTTGATTAAGTATCTGAACGATTTCAAAGCGAGCAGTGGCAACACATTATACGAAAGAAAATATTTTTATCTTCAGGGCGCGAGACTGTATATCGGGAATTCTTCTGCTTTTAAATACTTTTAACCCGAGGAACTTTAGCCCGAATGCTCTCGAAACGTTTGTGTATGTGGAAAAAAATAAAAAAAAACGCCCCTTCGGACATAATATAAAATTTGAAAGCTGTCAGAATTTTTCTTTTCATTTTAAACATTACCTATAACAGCTAAATAATATTTCTGTTTCAGACTCAGACGACTCACTGTAGATGATTTTGATAGATGTGCGCCGGCATATTTGGAGATTCCATTCAGGAATTACTTCCTTGGCGCTGCAGGAAGGAGAATTACGTATCAGGAAAATATAAAAGCCTACAGAAGGTAAGAGTTTGATCGTATGTTTTGTAGCACACTATTCAGTTATTTCACTGTATATAGATTTAATCAGTTATTTCCACTGTTATCCATAACCTTACCTGCATTAACTCTGTAGAGTCATTAGGTTATTTTAAAGCAGGAGACGTGAAAAATATGTAATGCCCTTTGCGGGGCTCGAACCCTGTACCTCTCGAATACACGTTGAGTATGTTTCCAATTATATTACGAAATCATCCGAAAAGGGGAAGAAAATATCTTATATACTCCTTTATATATCCCCAATCGCAAATCCTGGTGATGACGAATTATCGTCTACCACCTTTTTTTAGTTCGGGCGCCAGAGTCATTTCGGTCTTTCGCTGATGCAGGAGACGTTAAAAATATGTAATGCCTCCGCAGGGTTTTGAACCCTGAACCTCTCGAATGAGCGTCAAGTGTGCTTCCAATTACGCGTACGGAAATCAGGGAGAAAATACCTTTTAAGTCCATGATTTTATCACTATAAATCATAATATATAACGAAAAAATTCTTTTCACTACTTACGAAAAGGTTGCCTCTCATAGGTCGTGGTGTCCCTCCCTACACCTCGAATCGCTTATTTAAAATTTCGACTTATGAAAATAAGTGAAAATGTATGAATGATGCGAAAGTGTATAATTATTAACTTATGAAAGCGTATAATAATGAAAAGTGTGAATTATGAAAGTGTATAATTATTAACTTATGAAAGATTATAATGTTTTTGGTTAAATTTACAGTGGGAATTCAACCAGAATTATATTTTAGGAAGATGTTATTTATTACTCTTTTAATTCTCCTTAAAGGGTAAAGATTTTACCTAAAATATTGCGTGATGTATCGAGGAATGAAGTGACCACAACCGTGCTTGGATTAGATGTCGATTTCCCAATTGGTATTTCTCCAGTCGCTCAGCAAAAATTCGCTCATCCAGAAGGAGAGGTGGCAACGGCAGCGGGTATGTATTGCTGTAAATTTACAAAAATGTTTTCCTTTATTTTGTGGTTGCAACATTTCATTAGTTTGGAAATAATGTATTTTCTTTTTTTGTACTTTTGAGTTAATGCAGCCTTTATTTATTGATTGATTAATTTTTGCTTATCTTATTTCATTGTAAATATTCATAATTATAAAATTACTTTGTTATGTACATATTTCTTTCCTGTTCTTGTATTTTAAGTTAAACTGCATACATTGCCTCTCCCCCCCAAAAAAAAAGTTGCACAGTTCTTTATTTCCCAATTTACTGGGCAGATTGATGAAATTTAACTTGTGTTTTTAATGTCCCGACATATCGAATTAGGATGTATATTAGATTTATATATATCACAGGTCTGACTTATGTCGGCTCTCCAATCAATGACAATAATTACTTAGTTTATTGGCTGCATATTCGCTTTTTAATAATTCCATTTTAAGTATGCTAATAAGTACATTCATTTAAATAGAATTATAGCCGTATTTTTTCAAAAGAGATAATATATTCCATCATCTAATAGAAAATAAATTTCTCTAAGAGAGATATTGTGACACAAAACCAGACATTTTTGAGATAACTTAATGAGTTTTCCCCTATATTTCCATTTATGCGTAAATAAGCAATTTCATAAAATTTGATGAGAAACTTAACCAGGAATTCTAAAATTGTCTTGGAGCACTTTTTTCAGTCTGCGCCACAAATAACTCCCTTGGCGATATTGTTATTTTATTGTAACTTATTTTCCTTTCCCTTTCACTGTGCACGAGCGGAAAAAAAAAAAAGGTGTAACGTTCATACATTCAGATAATTTTATCAAATTGCGTATATCACATTTAGCGTTTTTATTGCTTATAACAAACATGTCAAATTTCAAAAAGGTCCAATATATAAATTCACATATGGCTTTGGAAATTTGTAATAAAATACTCTAATTTTTTGCAGCTATGTCTACACATACATCTACTTTAAAATTGTGGTAAAAATGCGATAGCTTATGCAATAAATACATGCTTTAAGCACTAAATTTTTAAAAAAGTGTTTTGAAAATTTATAAAAATTACTAAAAAAACACAAATTTTATACACAAATCAAAAAAATAGCTGCGATTTTTATTCGGATTGTATCTAAATTTCGAATTGTAAAAAAAAGGTATCACGTAATAAAAAATCTGATGTGTACACCACATGACTTCCTTGTACGGAATATTAAATTATACGCATTTTTTCTTGCATTTCGTTTAAACTTATTGGATTTCATTATATCTACTTCGCCGACAGCGCATAAACCACAATAGAATATGTGCATTCTTTAAAATTCACTCTATTTGTTTACCATAGCGAAACTCTGGCGCTGTTCACTTAACAGTATTACATTTCGTTCATATTATAACTCAGAATCCACAAACTTTGTATCATTTAAAGAATTATCTAATCGTTGTCACATGCTCTATTCAAGTACTATAATAAAGCTAGAACGATGTATAAAAGAAATTAAGCAAACAAAACAAAAAAGAAACAGTTTTTTACAGACGATTGAGTATTTCTCATTCAATTAATTCGGGTCTCACTTCGCGACAAGGCAAAAATACATAAAATCTCAAAATATCTTTACTAAAAATTACTAATTATTAAAAATGAAGTTATTAAAAATTAAGTAAATCTTAAACACTTATTTCCACAAAAAAATTCTAGAAAGTATTAAGCATGATTTAAATCGCAATAATAAATGAAGGCGTTTATTTTTGTTGTTTCGAAGCTGCGTTTCTCTAGATTGGCAACAAATTCACTACTCAGCTGTTTCAAATGTAAACAAGCAATGGGCGCCATCAAAATAGGCTTAGCGGCACTTAAACAACTTTTAAATTCTTGATAATTCTAAAACTATTGCATACATATTTACTAAAGGCATAAACCCCTTAACCGCAAGATAAAAACAACATAATTCAATCATTTTTAAAGAAAAACATGTACAATTTACAAACATATAAGAGTAAAGAAACTGAGATCACGGAGCCGGGTAACAGAGTGGATATATTTATAAATATATTTATATACGTTTGGCGCGGCCGATTGAAACCAAAATACGAGGTGCACATCTACATGTTATAGCAGTCCTATATACAAAATTTCAAAGTTATGAGGCTACTCGTTTTTAAGTTATGCGAGATACGTACGTACATACGTTCGTACAGACGCCACGAAAAATTCTCTTCAGAATTCATTTTAAAGCAGTTTTTTAGGAGGAAAAATGTCTTATTCTGTCCTTACGTACAGATATCACGCAAGAACATAGTTAAATTGCATTCGAAAGCGGTCAAAGTGTATATTTTCGTTGAAATATGCTGCCTGAAGTTTTTCGCGATTACAATACTTCCTTTTTACTTCGTACAAGGAAGTAAAAAGAAATATTAATAAACATATACCAGATTCAATTAACACGGAAGAGCTAAAATTTTGAAAGCTAATTTTTTAAAAACTACTCGTGTGAATTTTTGCAAATCTTAGCAGTAATTTGAGTCGTAGTATCGACATATGGAAAAGAATCGGTATATCCTTTCAGAAAAAAGCCCGATTTTGTGTCGGAATACCTATGTTACAGCAGTTGCAATATATAAATCTAACATGCACCTAAGTCACGCGTTCGAGACATGAAAAATGCAAGTTAAATTTCGTCAACAGGCCCAGTAAAACTGAAAGTATAGGAACTGTGCCTTTTTTTTTTTTTTTTTTTTTTTTTTTTTTTTTTGTTTTTGTTTGTTTATATACATTTATGTATTTAATTAGAAAATGTCTTCTTGCAAATTTCCTGATATTTATTATTATAATGAATATAGTTTATTATATTAATATAACAAACCTAATCTAAGCTCTACTGTTCACAGTTGCACTTTTACGATAGGTTAGTCTTCCTTCCTTGCAATTTCATTGCAACTAATTTTGATTATGTTAAAATTTTCACGGAACCACAGTATTTAAGCAGCTTTTTAGTGTTCGTACTAGAATTTATCTTTTAATTTCTTTAATTTTTCAGCACAATGCGCAACGTTTTTTACCACATAGGTCTTTTATCGTTTGTTCTTTCAACTTTACTTTAAATTATATATATATATATATATGTGTGTGTGTGTGTGTGTATGTATGTCTCTCCGTTTCTCAGTAGTACTCGTATTTCTACTAGTTCGATGAATGTTGGTTGAATTTTACATATTTATGGGGAAATTTGGATGTCATTATCTGTATAATAAAATGTCTGTACTACTTACAAATAACTTACGTGTTTATTAGTAAGTAGTTTAATATAATAATTTTATAAACTACCTAATAAAAACCCCAGTGTGGAATTTTATATAACTAACTTCTGAAATTTTGCAAGTCACTTTAGAAATGACAATAGAATCTAAGCTATATAGCCTTTTTAAATATGCTTGGTGTAATGATAAAATATGCTACAAAGCTTGTGATATTTGTTGAAATATTCTAAAACTAGCAGCTACGCTGCCAGCCTTTGTCTGGCTTTTAAATGCACCGCTGAAGGGAATACCAAACGTTACATCTAAACTGCGCAGAATTTTACTCTGCAGAACAACTTCATCAAAAAATAAATAAACAAATAAATATATAAATAAAAAGTATTACATATAACAAAATTATATGAAATAATCAATACCCCTTAATACAAATATTAATTATCCTAATAAATAAATTAACCAAATTCCGGTTGCCTTTCTCTCAACAAACGTCCAGTATCCAAGAGAAACATTAAATTTAAAAACTGCACAGAATTATCGCCCTCATTTTCTCAAGTGGCAACAGTGTTGATTTTCAACAATCAGTAGTCCAGTATACAACTGAATAAAAAACTGTTGCCAAAACCACATTTCTAAAAGAATGAAACTAATCAAAATGATGCGATAAAATCAAAAAATAAAATAAAAAATAATCTGATTCGAATTTTGAAAAAATCGCCTCGAGGTGTACTGGCTCTTGTCTAGATGCACCTATATACCAAATTTCGTAGCCTAAATTCGTCTATTAACTTATGCGCAGCACGAACGAAAGACACACAGACTCTTTCTTTTATTATATGTAGAGATTATTTCAGTAGCAGGCGCAGGCAAAGTAGATAGTACCATTACCCCTGTAAAAACGTTATGCTACTACCTTACAAACAACTTTGTAAGTTTCAGAAACCCTCTTTGGTAGGTTTTCAATCATTCTCATCCGATTGTACCAGAAAGCGTTTAGATTCTGCTTCCCGTCCTTAAGCCTTGCGATACATCCGTAGAAACTAGGAAGTCTGCGGTTACTTTGGCATCCATTCGAAAGTGAGTTCCAGATTGTTTGAAAAGTTTTAGCTTTGTACCTGTGAATGGAAGTTCAATTTTTTATACCTTTCGATTCGAGAGAAGACGACCTTATAATTTTTGAGAAATGAAATCTGCAATATTTATTATTACTTTGAGGATTTTATTTTCAGCACAACTGCATTTTATTTTTTCCTTCCACATCTGTACTAAATTTATTTATTTATTTATCACCACTGAGCAGGATTCTGATCTAAGGTGTATACCAAACAGAATATTGCCTGCTCAGCGGGAGATCATGTACAATCCAGCAACCGCCGCCACCACCAGGTACAGGTACACCACTGAGCAGGCCCCCGACCTAAGGTAAGACCAAACGGAGTGATGCCTAGAACATCAAAACTGGCTGGCCATCAGGAGCTGGCTGGCAGTCACACGGGCATTTATTATGCAAAATTCAATTATTAGTATCAGTGCTACTTTTGTTCATAGACATATGATGATTTTCATAACACTTGCGGAATATGAGACAAGGTATAATTGAGTCTGCTCTGCAAGATGTAACATACATACGAGTATTAAGGCCGCTGTTGATATAGTTCATGTGCACTATAAAATGTGTATTTGTTCAGAGTTCCTGATGCATTGTTCATTGGTTCGTTTAGAAGAAGAGGTC